AATTTCTAAATAAGGTATATCCATGTTCATCTTGTGCTCATTAATAATAATTAATTAAGGATAAAGATTTTTATCCGTATAGTCATTGTATAAATATATTATATACATTAAATAACCTCATTAATGATATACTAGTATATTATTATAAGAGACTAAAAATAAAATCTTCAACTCATTTCTTCTGGCTAGGAAAACAGCAAACTGTATAGCGAAAGGAAAAGAGTGAAATCTAAATAGTTGATTAATGAGACCTTTTGCCTTCCAATATTTAAACATAGAAGGGAATAAATGATGAGAAAATCTATTTATGTAGAGAAAATAGAGAACCGATATTTTACAGTAATTTGAATGGTAAACAAACTAGGAGAAGCAATAAGCACCAGAGAAAAAAAAAATAATGATGGAAAAGTAAATTAGCCTGTCGATAATCATCGTAATTTTTATATTATATTATTTGAATGTTGTTCGCCCCCAACATCTCCGCCCCCTCCCATCCAGTATTTAGACAAATTTTGTAACTGTTTTTTTATGAACGTTACCTAAGGATATTCCGTCAATTGTTAAAAGGAAAAAGACACGAGTAGTGTTAAAACAACAAAAGTCGGACGGGAGATATAAGAGTTGTTCCATGATAAAATATAATAAGTAGAAGATGTTCATTTGTTAAGTTACACTGTTGTAAATAATCCTACATAATTTTTCCCACTAATTTATTCAAGATTCTTCTCTGCTTATCTTATTTCGTCATTCAAACTATTCCCGAGCTATCGATCTTGTCTGTAAAAACTTCTTTTTTCGTTCATCTGTTATTCACGTTAATTAAGGCACGCTTACGATTTTTCGTTTGTACGGTTTCTATTCATTTTATAAATATTTAGCATGAACTATTTGTTAATTGCAACAAATACATGCACAAGGTAATTTTCTAAAGAAAAGCAAAAGCGACAAGCTACGAATCTTTTCATATCTGAAATATCAAATAGTTTAACATCGTGATAAATTATTAAAGGCAACGCTTTCTATTTAAACCGTCATACTATTATTAAAATTAATATTTCGATTTCCAATCACTGATTTAATCGCAATTGATAATTGTTTCTATCGACTTCGCGTCTGACTTCGATTTTAAGGAGATGTATGAGAGCTTGCGGTTGACTCGGGCTACTTGACCGGCGTCTGGCCTCAGCTCATCTTGTTCTACTTAGTAGAATCTTCAGCTGTGCCGCTGTACTCTGCGGTAGCTGCAGACAGGAGTAAGCAGATTCCCGAAATCTTAGACACGCTCTCACTCCTAGCTACAGATACACATACAGCTTGTGCAGTTGTAAGAAGTATCATTGGTAAACAGGATAAATTGTAAAACTAGAGAATGAAGAATTGTTTACTATAATCGCGAACTGTCGCTGCCTTTGATAATTTATTGCAAAGTTAACAATGCTCATAGCTTAAACATCAGGCATGAAAAAGACACTACTTACTGCTCGTGTTTCTCGAACATTTTTTCCTTTCTAAATATGAAATTTGCCTAATTCTTGAATATTATCAAAAACTCAGATTGGCTTTTTAGACGTTTTATATACTCTACTCTCTGTCGTTCTCTGCTTTTATATTTAAACTTTATGTGATTTCAATCTCAATACTTGGCATGAAGATAGTTGACATTTATCGTTTCCGAGACATTTTTAAAAGTATTTCAACGTTCGTTAAAATTAATCTATCTACGTACATATACTAACAAGTACAGTGACAACTATAATAAATTCAATCAAATTTCATTTTCGCAATTATACTATTTGGACACTGTCACTGTATTTATTATAATTTTCGCCTAAGATTTTGATATTCCCAGAATCCTAGCAGATTAAAATTCTTAACTACCTAGAAAGTCTCAGAGAAATCAGCGACGTTTCTAACGAGTATTAACTAAATAACTTACGTCTTCAAGATTTTCTGCATTTATCGAAATCTTCTAAATTTTAGCTCGTCTTACGCTCATTAGAAAATCGATACTCCCAGAGTTTTAATCGATCTTTAATTTCTATATATATACTTTCTCAAAGTAAAGTAAATGTACGTCTTTGGAAAATTTAAGCACTCTTTACAAACTAATAGCTGGAGCTATACGATTTAAAAAAAACTTAATTAACGAAATCTTTCAAGCGTATGCACACCTACTATTAAAAAATTGTTGTCAAATCTTCTACCGGTGTTTTTCATAGCCTTAAGATTTTAACATAGATATATTCGTCCTGTTTAATGTAATGTTTCTGAAACTTTCCTTTTATTCGTTCTTACTATTCGTGTTCGTAATATCTCTTGGTGTCTTCGGAAGCTTTCATCTATTTCAACTTGAACTTCATTACCTTCGATCATTATTAATGTGTAACACCTACCTACATATATAATGTACACGTATATATTCTTTTTTTTTTACCACAGGAGAATTATATAATTTTAATCCTTTGCGTATCTATCGGTGCTAAATGTGTGTACGTACGTGTGTACATATGATGGTACATATGGTATGTATCTGTGCGAAGTACAAAGAATATGTGCAATGTATATTCTTTGCGTTGCGTTTAATTGTCGTTGGTTTGTTCAACTTTTGCATAAACCGTGATTTCTGTTCATCAGACGATCCAAATAAGTTCTCGATCACTAAACGAAATTTCAAGTATTATACTTACAAACGACTTACATATACATAGTGATTAATAACCGAGGGTACCGAGGTGGTTCATGCAAAAGTAAATATACATATACATATATACATAAAAATGAGGAAACACGTTCGGATTTTTATATCGTAGACTCCTTAATTACATAGGCGACGAGTTAGTTTAGTTGATTATGATTAATTTTTAATTCTAAACAACGGTATAATAATGTTAAGAGAAGAAATATTGTACAAAACTGAGGGAATTTCAAATCAAAGCACAATTAGTTTTTTCGTTCGAAGGTTGTATCGATGACACCGGTACAATGATGATGGTTAAAATAATATTATAATTTGCTTATGCTTTAGGCGTATCGTAAATGATAATTACAATACTGTAAGCCGTAATAGTTATAATAAAATAGTGGTTTATTATTATAAACGAGGATCGTAACGTTTATGTATACCGATTATAATTATTACATTAAAGTGTTGATATTATACTCGTTCAGCTTGCGTTTAACTCAACGATTTCTCGGACGAAGAACGTTTGAACGGTGCCCCTTTCGTTCTGTGAGAAATTCCGCCTCTTTTTCTGTTTTTATTGCAACCGTTGTTCAGGCATCGAGGAGATACTATTAAAGAGTGGCAGCGTGGACCGTTTAATCGCTGGGACAGCGAATGGGGCCCATTGGGCTTCAAAAAACATAGTCTGTAACATTTTACAGCTAGAGGTACAACTTTTATCTGAAACACTTCTCGCTAGGACGAAAAAAAATTTTTATATAGGACTTGTAGGCACTGACGTCCTCTACAAGACAGATTCTATGAATTTTTCTTCTAATTTCGATATTTAATGAGTTACATATGATTATATGGCATTTTATTGATGTTGACAAAATCCGACCATCCCAGCGTNGTTCCTTCCATCGTTTAAACGTTGCATGTAGCTTTCGATGTTCCATACATTTCTGCGCATTCGTAAAATCCGCAATCTGATAATTGTCGAACGATATCGAAAATCCGAGTCACCTTTTCATGTTCCTCATCCGGCGGATATTTTCCAGCCTCCTCTTGTTCCTGCTAGCATTCGCTTTCGCCTCGGTGGCAGCTGCGCTCGCTTTGGCAGCCTCTCGATTCGTATTAGCGAGCTCCTGCCTGGCGGCCCTCAGCTGGTTCGACAGTTCCTCGACCCGTCTCTTCGCAGCGTCCAGTAGCTCTTCCTTTTCCTGTAGCGTTTTCTGCGCCCCGTTCGCGGCCGCCTGTGCATTAGCCGCGTTCGCTTTGGCCGTTTGGATCGCGTGCGACAGCGTCTTCAACTGAATTCCAATTTTTGTAATGCCGAACAAAACTGTTTCAACGGTCTTTTGATAATTAAATGGAACACCTGATCTTGCGACTGCCTCGCCGCTTGCACCGCGGCGTTTACGTTCGTCTGCTCCTGTTCCAACGACGACGATTCCTCCTGGACCACCGATTGAGCCTCCCTCACTTCCTCTTGCAACTGTTCCACTACCACTTTCTTGCTCGTCAGAGCTTCCTGCGCGGCCTTCGCTGCTTGTACCGCTTTTTCGGCGAGTTGCGATTTCACCTATCCGCGAAATTTTGCATCAGGAGGTAGCAACGTTCAATCCGTTTGCATCATACGCCGCCCACAAGGTAAATAACGATGCAAACGGGTTTAAATATGTATCCGAGATCGTACTTGACGGGAGGCTTGCTGCCCGGCGATATTCTGAGCTTCCGAGGCGGCCTTCGCCTCTTGCGCAGCCTTCTGAGCGACATTATTATTCTTCTCCGATGGTTTCTTATGGTTGTTCGGGTTGTTCCCGTGACAATTCGGACCCTCGGCGTAACGAATTTCCCTCTGATTCTACCAGGAATTATAATTATAGGTAAGCACCGAGCAAGTATCCAAAGCATCCTTTATTTAATACTAATTTCACTCCAAATTCGTAACTATAATTATTTATGTACTTGATATTTTTTAAAAGATATCAGAAAATAATCGTAACGAGTAAAACTGTCTTAAACTAAAGTTCTTCACAGTCAGAGGTTATTAAACAAATGCCTTGTTAAAGTGGAGGAGACAGTAGATTATACTAATTGTAAATATGAGAGATAAATTAAGACTTACTAAGGCGACTGGAACCTTGTTCACTCTTCCACAATCAAAATATTCGAACGTCAGTAATACTAAAAATAGAAATGGATAATTTTCACTTGGTTAGAGGAAGGAACGTGTACCGGAAGTCTTGTTTCGCGGGGCTACGCACCGATGTAGAGGATGTGAAAGATGTACATTATGGGTAATACGAAATTTTTAGGTGAACGCCGGATCGCAGCTCGTATAAATCATTATACAGTGTTATCAAATTATTATTGCAACTTGTGACGGTGAGTACGTTGATCAGAGAAACGAATGACACGCGATCCTATCGAATGTGTCATTATACAATGTAATTTAATTACTATATTAACTGTTAACCGATCTACCGCTCTGTCCTGTATTCCTTTAAGGTAGTTCTTAGTCCACTTTTGGATTAATATTGTAAAATAATCAAATAGTGGATCATCTCCAGATTTTAATATGTTATTCTATACAGATCGAAGTAGTT